CCAACTTCACAGGTTAGTACTGGACACAGAGAGAGAGAGAGTTCTTCTTCTTTCTCTTCTAAGTCCACCATCTCTTCTCACCCTCTCACCACCTGACTTCTCAGGATCAGCAGACTACGACAGAGAGAGAGAAAGTTGTGACTTGAGACTTGACGACATTGGATCCAGACTCGACATTTGGGATTCAGACATTTTGACGAGGGACTATTTGGGCCTGTGCCGATGACTTGGTGTTGACGACATTCCCATCTTCCCCTCCTCGTCGTCTAAGCCCCTTCTTCTTCGTCTATGTATGGTTGGGGCTGGCTCAGTCTTCCTGTGTGAAGCGCCAGACCCCTTTCACACCATGGAACGATGATGATGATGTATGTTCAGGGCTGCATTGCAATATTGATTGTTCGGATCATTGGTATCTAAGTCTTCCGCTACGCTATCTTGTACTTTGTATTGAGAGGTCGGTTCTTGTTCTGGTCTGCACCGTTACAGTATGCAACATCACCTGTCCTGGTTTAGAGCTTATGAGAGGATTCACAAATCTCAGTACCCCAGGTTCAGTCCCGAGTCCCAGTCCCAGTCCTAGGTCCCACCCCTGAATCCTAGTCCCAGTCCCAGGTCCCAGGTCCCAGGCCTTAGTCCTGAGTCCCAGGCCCCAGTCCTAAGTCCCAGGTTCTAGTCCCAAGTCCCATTCCGTGTTCCATTAGTGGTTCCTGCCACTTGTACCATATTCACGAATACTCGAGTAGATTTTGTTTGTACCATGACTACGGAAGCCTAGGCAGATCATGGTAGGAAGTCCCTGGTAGATTAGAGTTATGGGTTGAAGAAACTACCTTTAGAAGGCACCACAAACCTCAGCCAAGATCACCAGAGTCTTTAGGCCAGGTGTCAGTCAATCCACCCAAGCAGCCAGATCCAAGGAGAGTCTGTCAGCTTCCAGAAGCAGCAAACAAAGGCAAGGGGACCAACCCATAACCAGCAGGAGATGTCTGGAAGGTGGATCAGCAAGTATAAAAGTCCAGCAGCACCTGGATGTCGACACCAGATGTTTCACACTCAATGCGGAAGTGCTGCTGTCTTGTGCGTTGGAGAAGCGACTGAGAGGGAGAGTAGAGCAGAAGTCAACGGCGCCGGGCGCCATAGCTGTATTGTGTGTGTGAGAGAGAAAGCTTCACTGGAGGACATTTCGAGACTGATCAGAGTGACCTCTGTGTGT